CCCCCCCGTCATACACCCCCTACGGACACGTAATTATTTTTCTCACCCCTGGGCTCCAGGATTTTCACTGCGAAAGGTCAAAGTTCAATTTTCAACAGTGCCTCTACGTTAAACGCCCATCGTTCGCGGCGTAAGCCAAAAGAGATTCCGGTAACAGTGCCAATTATAACGTGTATTAATTAAGCATCGTAAAATCGATAATCAACTAACCTGTTCTGTTGTTCGTTTACGGTTGCCGAAGGGAGGGTTTTCGGTCGCTGAACGTGACAATAGGGGTGCTCGCCCCGTGCCGGTGCTCACCGGCCCTCGATCCGCACAAGGGCGACGAGGCCTTCCTCGAGGAAGATTCTCGTACCGTTAGCAGCCACCCCTAAACTAGGGGTAGCAACCCCTAAACTCGCAGTCCCACCTCTGCTGCACTCGCCACTTGGTGCCTCCTTCAGCCTACGCATGCCAGGTATTCTGAAAGCGAAAAGAAAAAACAACCCTTGTCACAAAAATGGATACCGACAAACCACCCTTAACGGGCCCAGGGTTGTCTCCATCGGTCAATCTAACCCTCTGGGCACAGGATTAAATTAATGGGGCTACCTGGGCACACCCTATATTATTTTCTAATATTGCGTGAGGGAACGACAGGATGGGGGGGGGGTAGAGGGGGGCAAAGGGCAGGAAGAGACCCCTACCAAATCCCAAGTAGGGCTGAGTTGGGGTGAATTTTGATGAACTCTTGATTAACGGATAATATAGCGGTAGGCAGCAGCAGCCCTCAACAACAATAACGATAATAATAATTCCAACTATTAATCGGGAAAGGAATAAGACTACTATATGTGTATAGGAAACAGTCGAATCCCCTTAAGCGGCTACGTACTGTTAATGATCTACCTGTCATTTGGAGCCGAGACTAAAATCAAAGGGTTGCAACCCTTAAAAAATACCAAATTGGGGTAAATACGAAACAAGAGAATCAAACTGTATTTCGGAACATTAATCATTCGATGAGGGATGACACCAAGTAGTGACTGAACCAGGATCAATAAATTTCAGTTAATGGCATCGACTGATTTCGAGCTGATAAAAAAAATCGGTTGCTGCCATTGGCTGAAATTTAATAGCCCGAATGGTGATTCGATTGCGAGATATACCCTGAGTAAGGATAAAACGCTGTTAGTTTTTTTTTTCTTTTTTTTTTCGGCAAATGATTTGGCGCGAAATTCAAAAATAAAGTTCATCAGCTTTAGTACTGTAAGGAGAAATTTTTTTTCTCAAAATGACTTAATTTTACTTTTCAAATATCGCCCTGACGTCATACCTCTCACAGTTACACGTATCTTTATAGCTATAACGTTATTTTAAATATTTACTGACCGTAAGAACTCTAGCAATTTGTCTTTTTCTTACTTTAATCCGCAGACAAATTTTCCACGAATTTTTTCAGGCCTCTTGAAAGTTAGACAAACTAATAAGCCCTCGCGACTAAGTAAACATTTGATCTCTCAGAGGCCTGGCAAATTTTTTCTCCCTTTTTTTTTTTGTGTCCTTTACTTCTCTCTTTTCTTGCTACTTTCCCTTTGCGCGTACGTCCCATCCGCGAAGACTCCTTTAAAGCCGACTTTAACAAGGGACGACAGCAAGCGGACAAACGGCCCAGGGCCCCCAATCAGTAGGTCGTGTCAAGTTCGCAAGATACAGCCCTGAGTGGAGGCGTCAGGAAAGAGAAGAAAAAAATAAATAAAAAAAAAGATACATAAAAATAAAAAAGTTACATCTAAAGAAGATCCCCCCAAAAAAAAAAAAATAAATCCGAACATAGATCAAGTTCGATTGATGGATCCTTAATTAATCGAAATTCCAACTAAGCCCATATATCCACAGTAAACCGCTTCACAGTAGCGGCTGAAGCATGTACGAATTTAGGGTCTGTATCGACTGAGTATCCTGAAAAAAAAAAAAAAAAAAAAAAAAAAAAAATTAAATCCAAAAGAAAAACAGCCATCGCCAACGACGTTAATCTTTCTCTACGGACCTTAAGCCGCAGCCGTAAAGATCGCGTGGCGCGTCTGACGTAAAAGCGTTAAGGGTAATCTAGATAAAAGAATAACTGGCAGCCATAGATGGAGTAGCCATCGCCAACGACGTTAATCTTTCTCTACGGACCTTAAGCCGCAGCCGTAAAGATCGCGTGGCGCGTCTGACGTAAAAGCGTTAAGGGTAATCTAGATAAAAGAATAACTGGCAGCCATAGATGGAGTAACGATCCCGTAGGATCCTGGACAAGTAGACGAACGACGAAAGGGATAACCCCCCTAAGCGGTAGCTGTTAGCATAGATAGCTACAGCCCCTATAGCAAAGAGACGGAACCCCTAGACAGTTTGATCTTCAGTAAGAAAAAAAGAAAAAAAGAGAGAAAAGATGTACGTGCCAGCCCCGAGTGGAATGCCAAGCGGATTTCAAACTTTTATCAAGACAGCTCCCACCCCCCATGCCACCCTTTTCCTTAGTAACTTCAATCCGCCATTTCCACTATCCGTATGGAACGACGGGATCCACTCGAGAAATTGGCGTCGGGACCGACGTGAATTGGTCCCTTTTATTCCGTACGATTTTTACCGACCGCCACCCACGAGGGTTGACCTTGAAACAAAAATTCTTTCCACACGACTCACAGGGACACGTGTTCCCTAGAGAAGCGTGGTATGATCCACGCGGCAGTTGTATGAACTGTCAGTGAAACGATAAATAAATAAATAAGTTTTTGACAAACTTTTTTTTATTTACATAAAATAATAATCATGACGTGAATTTTACGTATCAATGAAATAGGGGGGGGGGTGGAATTATATCGAAAAAGAAAAGCATCACGAGTACCTTTATATTTTATAATCAAGATCTTTCGTTTGAAATGAAAATGAAAAAAAAAAACTTTATTTTGACTTTTTTTTAAATCCAGTCGCTCTACGATGTTTCCTCGGTTATTATACGAGACTGCACTGCCGGCAGTGCAGCTACCCCTACATCGGATTCTAAAGAAGCTGCGTCGTCACGACGAAGCACTCGTCTCCCACAAGTTCGTGGAAACGAGGAGTCCAGTTTGATGCGGATTGCCTGATTTCGTGAAGCTGGGAGCCCGAGCGAGAGAGATAATGATGATGATGAGAGGAAGAGAGAGAGGGAAGAGGGGAGACAGGGAGGGAGAGGAAAAACGAAAGTAAGAGAAAGAGAAACAGAAGCAGGAAGAAGGGACAGAAAATCGTGAGAAAAGTCGAGTGGATGAAAAAGAAAAAAAAACAGGATAAAAAGCAACCGCGATACTTTTTTTGGAAACCTCGTCAAACGGGATTTCCTTGTAATGCGACGAGAAAAGACGCACTGTAAATATTCGCGAAACAGGTAAAAATCTTTATTTGCCCAAAAGAGACAAGGCTGAACGTCACAAGATTGAAAGATGTAATTTCGATAGACAAGTGACAATGTCTGTACTTCCTCGGTACCAAGAATATTCAAAATCAACGAAAATACCAAATTTACCGAAGTTTCCACTGTGCAAATTAAATTTACCCGAAATTCCTAGAGTGACGTCAGTCTCAGCCATTTTCTTCATTAATCTTCGTCAAAAGCCTTCCTCCTCGTCCTAAGCAAACATCGACCACCCATCCGAGAATCAACCCTATCTCCACGTAGGGGGGGGGGATGTTGAGATTTCAGTAAAGAATTAGTATTGACGTTATGTCATTTCCCATGATCCCCTACGCCGCTATTTCCGATAACCATAACTGTATATATTTTCATCATAGCTCCAGCATCCATATACACACGTAATACCATCCATGTCTATATAAATAAACCTACATGTACATAAAACGCATATATATAGTACAACCGCAATATACGTATAAATTTGGCGTTGGGCTATTTCGGAGACCGATTTCGTTAACGTACTGGCTATTTTGAGGTCTGTCCCCAAAGAATTTTCAGCGTAACACCTGTTTCGAGAGCCGTAAAGCATAGATCACACCGAATTCGTTAAAAAAAATTTCGACGCTAGACCCCCGGAGTTTTGTGATGGGCCTTAAAAAAAATATTTCATTTACGTTAGATTAGTGTAGAAATCCAATGCTGTGTCCTAAGGCAGTAATTTTTTTCCAACGCATCAGCTCGCTACTGTGAATGCCCCTTTATGTTTCCTGTCCTCAAAGCTATACGATCGACAATTATGTATATACCACATCTACCGTAACATATCAGGTGGTACCAATAACGATGTTCGAACAATGCAGATAATAGGTATATACATATACATATATACACATAGTACATAGGTACATGTTATTAGGTAACACGTAGTACAGTACCCCATATACTACCCGTCGTGCACATATGTGAAAATTCATCTGGGGTATGTACAACGTATGGCTACTATGCGCTTCAACCGCAGAAGGTATGCGAGCTGCGAATCCCTGAAATGCCTCGGGCCTTAAACCAGAAACAGAAGGAGCCAGCAGACGTGGGAATCTTTTACCGTGAGATCATTACCAGCGTGTATCTTCTGTATTATCGACAGAAGCATCCATTAGGTAGAGATGTTAATTCCAGCGTAGGAAAACAGCGAAGCTGGAAATTGCGTGAACGTGTATGAGGTATAATCGTTGAAATTAGTGAAAAAAAAAATATCGTTCGCCCAATCATTTCACCAAAAAGAAATTATATCGTGCTTAAGTACAACCGTCCCTTTTTAATTCTCGACGTCATTAAGTTACCAGGGGTGGTTTTCTTGGCGGGGGGGACTTTCTTTTTTTTACACCCCCGTGAAATAACGTATGGGTCAGCAGGACCCATAGTAGTAGTTGTCTCTACTAGGGCTGCTGATGTATGGCCTAGTACGAGTAGTCGTCTTCTTTCCGTGGGTGGAGGGGGATGGAGGGTGAAGGAAAAAAATTCTTGTAAATCAACCCCTGTCTGACCACAACCCCGCCTTTCCACTTGGCCAGTGGTAAGGGCGTACGTGCTTCGTCCTACGTATGTCGATTTATCCTACGTAAGTGCATACGTCACTGTACTATACATGTGTGGGTGTATATATATGTAGATATATGGATTAGGTGTGGATTTGTTAAGCCGATATTTCTTGCTCTATTCACTGTAGCTGTGCCAATAGTCCTTTGGTGAAGTGTATGCATATATATATATATATATATATATTATAATGTATTTTGTTAACTCGAAGCCGATAACGAAAATTCGAGAACTAACCTACATACGTCATCTTCGGCCGTCCACCCTTCGCCTCAATAGTCTCAACTACGGCAAAACGAGAGCTCTGACGAAACCTATCAGACGAAACACACGCAGAAAATCGGTGGGATTTTCTGAATATTGCGAGAGCAACGCGTGAACTGCACAAGCGAGAACCTTCTACAACGTAAGCAAAGCACGGCTAGAGGAACTATCAACAAATAGC